TTTTTCCCAATTTTTTTCCCTTTTTCCCCAATCCCCTCACTGTGCCCAATGTCCCCAATGATGTCCCCAATGATGTCCCCACTATTGTCCCCAATGTCCCCAGGTGGGGTCCCCCTGTGCCCTCACTGACCCCAATGTCCCCAATGTCCATTTTTCCCCCAATTTTTCCCCCATTTTTTCCCAATTTTTTTTCCCTTTTTCCCCAATCCCCCCACTGTCCCCAATGTCCCCAATGTCCCCAATGTCCCCAATGATGTCCCCTCTGTCCCCAGGTGGGGTCCCCCTGTGCCCTCGCTGACCCCGACTCCGAGCGGCGGCTCCGGGCGGCGGCGGCGCGGGGCGGTCACACCCTCTACATCCCGCGGGGGGCGCTGTGGGGCTGCGAGGACATCGCCCGCATGGACAGCGCGGGGACACTGCAGGTGACACTGGGGACACTGCAGGGGACAATGGGGACATTGGGGACATTGGGGACAGTGGGGACATTGGGGACATTGGGGACAATGGGGACATTGGGGACATTGGGGACAGTGGGGACATTGGGGACATTGGGGACAGTGGGGACATTGGGGACATCGCCTGCATGGACAGCGCGGGGACACTGCAGGTGACAATGGGGACACTGCAGGGGACAATGGGGACACTGCAGGGGACAATGGGGACATTGGTGACAATGGGGACACTGGGGACATTGGGGACATTGGGGACAGTGGGGACATTGGGGACAGTGGGGACATTGGGGACATTGGGGACATTGGGGACAATGGGGACATTGGGGAGATTGGGGACATTGGGGACATTGGGGGGATGGACAGCGCGGGGACACTGCAGGTGACACTGGGGACAGTGGGGACAGTGGGGACAATGGGGACATTGGGGATATTGCCAGGATGGACAGCGCGGGGACACTGCAGGTGACAACGGGGACATTGGGGACACAGGGGACATTGGGGACATTGGGGACATTGGGGACAATGGGGACATTGGGGACATTGGGGACATTGGGGACAATGGGGACATTGGTGGCGGCCACACCCTCTACATCCCGTGGGGGGCGCTGTGGGGCTGCGAGGACATCGCCAGGATGGACAGCGCGGGGACACTGCAGGTGACACTGGGGACACTGCAGGTGACAATGGGGACAACGGGGAAAAAGGGGGACATTGGGGACAATGGGGACATTGGGGACAATGGGGACATTGGGGACACTGGGGACAGTGGGGACATCGCCCGCATGGACAGCGCGGGGACACTGCAGGTGACAATGGGGACAATGGGGACATTGGGGACAATGGGGACAATTCCCAACCTTGGGACTCAGATTTGGGGACAATTCCCAATGTCGGTGACGTTCTCAATGTCCCCACTGTCCCCAATGTCCCCAGGCTCTGAAGGTGACAATGACCAAGGCCCCGGGCAGTTTCC